TGGGCTATGGGGGGCTGAGGAAGAGTCCAGGGGAAGTGAGTTCTGGCTGGGATCTGAGGGAAAAAGAAACTGGGGGTGTGGGGAGCTGGAGGGGCTGGGAGAGAGTCTGGGGGAAGATGGAGCTGGGAGAGGGTCTGATAAGTAGGACAGGCTGAGGAGTGCAGGTAGGGTGTGGGTCTTAAGGGCTGGGAGGGCATCTAGGGCAGGAGCTGCCAGTCAGGGCTATGGGGGAGGCAGGATGTGAGGACATTTGTGAAGCTGGGGGGCATGAGGGGTACAGAGGGCTGGGACATGTTAGGGAGCAGGGTGAGCCCTGGGGAAAGGGTGTGGGGAAAAGGGTTCCAAGGGAATGTCCCTCTGACAGACCCCCCTTTTCCTGCCCCAGCCTGGGTGGGTGGGAATCTGCATGCCTGGAGGAGGTGTGATCCAGAGCCCTGGCAGCATCCCAGCCCTCTCGGAGCTGGGAATAGGGACACCCCAAGTGCTGCTGGCACAGGGAGGTCAGGGCTGTCTGCTGGGTGTCCCCGAGCTGGTGTGTGAATGTTTTAACTTAAAGAGGGCACTGGGGAGCTGAGCTGCTACCAGAGCTGCTGCTGGGGGCTGTAGGCTATGGGAAGTAATAGAAACACAAAATAATACAGCCTGTAAGCTCCTGGTTTTCATGCCTTTCCCTGTTACAAAGGGAAACTACTGCTTCCTTTTTTCTGGATCAGATGTAAATTCAAGGATTTTGCTAAAAATAATTCAATAAAAGAGTTTGACGCACATGAGCTCTGGGTTAAATGTGACTTTAAAAGTTGATAAGAGCAGGGGGAAATGATCTTGTGGTTTTGGACTGCTGAGTGTGTCCAGGTGTACAGAGAGGCCTTTTCCCACGAGTGTCTGTTCCCCCTGAGATCTCTCCATCCTTACTTGTCTCCCTTTGCCCATTCATTCCTGCACCTGTTCTCCCTCTGCCTTGCTCCTTTTGCTTGGGAATTTCTTAGCTGTTTCCCTCAGTTCTGACTGTGCAGGTCCCTGGAAAGTTTTCTCTCAATTCCCAGTGTTCCAAAGGGTGACAGAACCCCTTGGGGGTAGCTCTGTGCATGGCAGTGAGTTATGATGTTGACCAAGATCCATAGTGTTTCTTTTGGGCAAGTTCTTACTTCCAGCAGTGAATTACCAGTGCCAACCAGCTGTTGTGTTTGTGTTATTTCAGCCACTGAATACCACCTGGGGCTGCTGAAGGCCAAGCTTGCAAAATACAGAGCTCAGCTGCTGGAACCCTCCAAATCCCCCGCGGCCAAGGGCGAAGGCTTCGATGTGATGAAATCAGGAGATGCCCGAGTGGCACTGATTGGTTTTCCTTCCGTGGGTAAGGTCAGTGAGTGCCTGCAGTCACCATGGGCTCCTGTGATCCAAGTCTGTGGTTTGTAGTGGCTCTAAAGCAGACTTAGGATCACAGAGTCATGGAATAATGGGTTGGGTTGAAAGGACCTTAAAGGTCATCTTGTGAGATCCCAGCTGGAATGCTGGCTACCGATGCTGGTGCCCCCAACATGGGATGGATGTGAAGCTGTTAGAACAAGTTCAGAGGAGGCCACAAAGTTAGTAAGGGGACTGGAACACTTCCCATGTGGAGACAGGCTGAGAGAGTTGGGGCTGTTGAGCCTGGAGGAGAGAAGGTTGTGTGGAGACAGGGGACTATAAGGAAGCTGGAGAGGGAACTGGAGTGACAGGACAAGGGGAATTGGTTCAAATTGAAAAAGAGGGGATCTTTAGGTTAGATATTAGGAAGACATTGTTCCCTGTGAGTGCGGTGAGGCACTGGCACAGGTTTCCAAGAGCTGTGGCTTCCTTGTCCTTGGAAGTGTTCAGGGCTACATTGGACAGGGCTTGGAGCCACCTGGGCTCTTGGAAAGTGTCCCTGCCCATGGCAGGGGGATGTAATGAGCTGAGCTTTAAGGTCCCTTCCAACCCAAACCATTCCATGATTCTG